GCAGCTTATTCCGCAGCAGACCTCCTTCGGGTAAGCCTCGTGCGTATAATTTGCATAACCTCGTACTAATATACCTGTACAGCACGAACAACCCCTTCGCGGCAACGCAGCAATCGCCGTCACCCTTCCCATCCTCACCCGCCCAGCCCCAGCAAAACGGCATCAACTTCAACCTCCCATCTACATACGACCAACACTCTCAACCACAATCAAACCTCTCCGCATCTCTTTCGTCACCGCCACAGCAACAACACTCTCCTGCACCTTCCGCTTCACCCAGCCGCGGACCGACGCGTACGGATCAGGAACACGCGCACTTGGCTAATCTGTTTGCGGGCGTTGCGTCGGGTGATGGAGTGGATACGTTTGGAAATGTTGGGCAGTTGAGGTATGGTGGGACGGATCAGGGGAGGTTGGCGGCGCAGAGGACTGGTGCGCCTGGGCAGGGAGGGCATAATCCGTTTGCGCCTCAGCAACAGCAACAACAGGGCGAACAGCCGTTCTTTTCGATCTAAGTGTGGTGTTTGTGGTTGTGTGTGCTATCCTTTACGTGCCTACGTTTAGTTCCTAATGTTCTGTGTTTGCCTATTTGAATATCTTCTGGCCATCCTACCTCCTATACCCTCCACTCCTTGATCTTTAGCTTTCCCCGCCTGTGTTTCATCAACCCCATCGTCTACGTTTCTCTTATCTTCTTTTCCTCTCTCTCGAAGTTGGCCTATGCTGTACCGTATAGTTTCTGAACAAGGACATGATCGTTCGTACTCGCTGTAACGAATAAAGATGTGTGCCTGACATAATCTGTCAAGACGTTAATGGAAGCGCATCGGGCCGCCGGGAGTGGCGCGCCGATCATATAGATGGCCGGCAGCGAGCAGACCTTGTCCTGAACGTCGATCTTCCTCGCGTATACTCTCTTGACTGATATAAACATGGTCTATCCCGGTACTTCATTTATTCCTAGATACGATCCCATAAGTTCTAACGGCGATAAAGCAAAGAAACACGCGTTGAAGACGTTGCAGAAGCTCGCGGAGCTGCTGCCCGCCGAGGACAAGATCAAGGTAATCAATTCATCCCCCATCGCACTCTCCCAATCCTAATCTACATCTACAGCCACAAATAATTCTCCTCGTAGGCGAAGTGACGCCCTATCGCAACGACACGGACCGCGAACTGCCCTTCCGTCAAGAATCCAACTTCAACTACCTAACAGGCTGCACCGTGCCAGGTTCCTCCCTCCTCCTCAGCGCATCCTCAGCCACATCCTCAGAACTTCTCACAAACACCCTCTTTATACCGCCCATCGAACCCGCCGATCTGATGTGGAGCGTCCCGCCGCCTACGCTCGACGCCGCGAAAGAATCGCACGACGTACCGAGCGTTGCGCATGTCACCGACTTGCCTAAAGCGCTCGCGGACGCCTTGTCGAATGCGAACGGTGCACTCGTCCACGTCCTCCCATTACAAACTGGAAAATTTCCAAAAATCTCAGAAGACCTTATAACGCTCTCCCAATCAAACCCCGGCTCCAGTCTCACAGACGCATTCCTCCTCTCAGCGCTAGGTAAAGCGCGTATCATCAAGGATGACGAAGAGATTGAGAGGATCAGGATCGCGAATGCTATTTCGTCTAGGGCGCATGAGACTGTTATGAGGGTGTTGGGACAGGGAGTTAGAGGGTTGATTGTGGACGGGAGGAAGGATGGAAAGGGTGGGGAGAGACCGTTGTTGCCGGGGGAGTGGTTGATCGAGAAGGAGGCAGAAGCAGAGGCGGTTTTCGTCGCTTCGTGTCGTCGCGAAGGGTACGCTTCATTCTTTCCTTTCTTAGATCGCGCGGGTCAACTGCTGAGTGCTGTCCGTTGAATGTAGGGCCGTGCATCAAGCGTACCTCCCCATCGTAGCCGCCTCCAACCGTGCCGCGACGTTACATTATTGCTGTAACGATCGCGAGTTCGCTTGGGGACCCGTTAATGCCCACGACCATAAGAACCGCGCGCAGTTCGCGCATGCTACGACTGATAACCGCAAGTTGCTGCCTCAGGTGCTTCTCATCGATGCCGGATGTGAATGGGACTGTTACGCCGCAGATAGTATGCCTGCTTCTTCTAGAGCTATATACTCTGAAAGCTAATCGCTCGCCTTAGTCACACGCACGATGCCCGTCGGTAACAACGGCAAATTCACCCCCGAATCCCGCGCGATCTACTCCCTCGTACACGAAATGCAACTCGCAGCATTCTCAGCACTCAAACCCGGCCTTCACTGGGACGCAGTCCAGCTCCTCTGCCACCGTACCCTCGTCCGAGGTTTCCAACGCCTTGGTATCTTCAAATCGCCGGACTCGCAAGGGAGCGGATCGTGGAACTCGGAAGAGGCGATTTTGGCGTCTGGGATCAGTGCTGCTTTTTTCCCGCATGGATTGGGTCATAGTTTGGGGATGGACGTGCATGATGTGCCGGAGATTTCTAAGCCGGGTGTTAATCCTAGTGTGGAGAAGGGGTTGGAGTTAGGGCATCCGAGTTTTTATACTTATTTGCGGTTGAGGTTGCCGCTTGAGGAGAATATGGTCGTGGTACGTTTCTTTCTCTCCCTCTATTTGGAGGGTCGTGCTGACGCGAACAAACATAGACTGTCGAGCCGGGATGTTACTTCCACCAACATCTGCTTGCGCCCGTACGTGATTCGAAACATATCGATCATGAAGTTTTGAAACGGTATGAGTCTGTGGGGGGAGTCAGGATCGAGGATGTGGTGGTTATTACGAAGGAGGGGTATGAGAATTTGACTACTGTGAGGAGCGATGTTGAATGGGTTGAGGGTGTTTGCTCGGGGGAGCTTTGATCGCGGTGTATGATATTAATAGGGAATGAAGAACAGGTTATTGCTTGTTTGTATTTGTACTGGTTCGCTATCAATAGCTTTTCAGCTTGCAATGGGGAAGACCGGACGGCTGACTGTCGTGGACCTGATCATTGTCTCGTTGAGTGTACTTATTGTGTGGTCGTAAAACAGCCCGGCGTCTAGACTTTGTTTAAGGGGTAGGCTGCAGCAGCGAACTCCCAATTCTCGGCCGTCCCGCCAACACTGATTCCTGGCCCAGCTGCGTGCTGCGCGAGTCTTTACAGTACTCCATCAACGCGTGCTACTCGTGGTGCACCGTACTATGACTGCATCAGTGCGCATAGCATATACTCACGCCTTTCCTTCAACCTTGACGAAAATACGTTAACATGTATGAACTGTCATTGATACAAACATTGAATGTATGGACGATGATGTACTTTAAAACTATAGATACCACCCGACTCTGTCGCGTACGTATCACTGATCAGGACGGTCGCCACAACACGCTGTCGTTGGCAATCACACACTCCTCTGCCAGCCTTTGACCCGTCGAAGAGACATCCTCCCATCCCCCGCCCGCAAGCTCTTCAACCGTAGTAACAGCCAAGCGATCGCCCGCCCATACTGATAGCGTTCCAACAGGGCCTACATCCTCGGACCAAGAGGTCATGATCATCGCAAGAGCGCCGAGATCCAGGACCAACCTCTCCCCCTTCAAGAACGGTCCGTCGGCTGTACATCCCGCCTGCCAGTAGTCGAGTATCTCCATGCTAGCGAGAGCGTCCGCGCGAACGTATTGCTTGCGGGACAAGTTGCATAGAGCCCAGGTTCCGCGAGATAGGTAGCGCGGAGCGGTGGATTCGAGGAGGAGTTGTACGCGTAGGTAGTCACCCGTCACGTCTCGCGACACACGCTGCATAGCCGTCTTTGGGACCTCTATGCGTATGCGGTCGATGACGTCTCCGTACTCGTCCTCGATATCTTGATACTCAAAGCCGACATACGGCTCCTTCCCGTCGAACGACATATTGGCCAGTGGGATATTGTGCTGATAATGATCCCACGCGAAGCTATAAAAGTGCCCTTCCGTCTCCGCATCCTCTGAGGGCGTGAGGACGCCCTGCGGTAATATATCGGCGTAATCTCCAGCAGTGACGATTCGATCTCCGGCCCAACTGCCCCAGTGGGCGCATTCCTCACGACGCAGTTCTAATACCCGGCGGAAGCCTTCGGCGGCGAGTAGACGATGAGTGGCTGCGAAGCAAGCGGCGTCATCCAGAGACGAGATGGACGAGTATATGACGGTGATGAGCTCGGCAGGGAGAACGGCGAAAGACCCTATTTCGCTCTTGTTATTGGCTGCAGGCGACAGACTGCGGAAAGTTCAGTCGCACTCGAATCAAACACGTGAGGCAACGTACTGGAGCGCGGGAGCGACGTCCGGGAACTCTGGGCGAGCCAGCAGCTTGACCAGCCAGTCATGACCCATGAAGATGAAGCTGTCAAATCTGCCATTCACGTTCTTCGCCTTTTGGCGCTTGTCGATGTTGAACCTGCGACGAGGGTTGTCAGCGCTTCATGAATGGAGTGGATAGAGACACCAGATACGCACAGATTCCAGTACTGACCCATCGTCACGGAGTGTAGGCGACGAAGCAGCAAAGCAAGACGAGGCAACCGCGCATCATATAACAGCAGACGATCGCCGGGAAAATCGGAGCATTGATACGTGTAAGGACGAGGCGAAGCATCACCTCGTGCAAGTCCATCCCACTGGAGTCAGAGTTGCAGCAATATAAGGAACACACGGCACTCCCATATTGATCGCAGATCATGTCTGTAGATGTATTTTTGCGTAATGGATCATGGCTAGCCATCGAGAAGTATTGTCAAGACTGAGGGCGTGGTCGTCGATCGCGAGTGCCGTGTTTCCATGCGTACAGTGGCAGCCGTATCGTCTTCAGCTGCGCGCATCGGTTCTCAACTCTTTCTACAGAGCGACGAGTCGCGTTGGTAGAGGGCATGTTTGAGTGATTTCATTGCATGAAGTTCGTGGTCGTGGTCGTGTCCAAGACGCGAACAGAGTCTGACCCGCTTTTCCCAGTACGCTACGAACGCGCCCACGTGAGTTGAAGACAGGCGCTTGTTTCATCACACCAGTGGTGAAGTGGTTATCATCTTTGCCTTCCACGAGAAATCAAGGTCAGCAAAGGGCTCGGGTTCGAATCCCGGCTGGTGTACGTACTGCAGCATCATGTTTTTTTTTGCTGCCAGATTTTTTTCTGCAGCGCCGGCAATCCCCCTTCGATCGCTCTAACGACTCGATAATGCTTGACACGGTAGGAAACAGTGGCATTCGAGAGTCTAACCAAGGTACATACGCCCTTGCAGGATGAGATGAGACACTACACGTATCATCTCCGATTCTCCTTGCGATAAGTATGGACATTATTGGGAGACTGCTACAGGAACAGCATCTAGTAGAACATATCATCGTTTGCCATCATGCACTGCTTGACCGTCTTCAGTCCTCTCACAGAGTCGTCCTCCCACCCTTCACCCGGCAACTCTTCGACCATGGCAATTGCCAGACGATCTCCCGCCCATGGTCCGTACGTGCCAACATCGCCCATATCGCTAGAATCAGTCGTCATGATGATAGCGAGGGTGCCTAGGTCAATCACGGTCTTCGGACCCATAACGAAGGGTCCGTCAACCGAGCAGCCGAACTGTACGTCTTCGCCGGGGATCCTCAGACGAGCAAGATCGCTCGCGCGTATGTACTTCTTGCGACTCATGTTGCAAAGAGCCCAAGAAGCGTTCGGCGCGTATCGCGGAGCCGTGGACTCCAGGAGTAGACGCGTGCGCAGGTAATCGCCCCGGGATGTGTCCGGGGAAACGCGCTGCAGAGCGGTCTTGACGATATCCGACTTCTTGCCTTTGCGTACAATCGGGGCGAGCGGCGGGTTCTTCTTGTAGTTCTCGCTGGCGTAATAGTAGAACTCCGACTCGTCGTCGATCTCGTTCGCCTCCGCAGACGACAGCATCCCTTTCGGCAGGACGTCGAGGTAGTCGCCAGCTGTAATGATGCGGTCGCCGGCCCAACTTCCCCACGCGGCACATTCCTCACGGCGCAGCTCTACCACCCGTCGAAAGCCCTCAGAAGAAAGAAGACGGTGAGCAGATGCAAGGCAGACGGCGTCGTCCACGGAGGAGATGAACGAGAAGATGGCGGCAAAGACTTCGGGAGGTACAACCGCGATAGGGCCCAGCTTGCTCTCGTCGCGAGTGGGGGGAGATAAGCTGTACATCGTCAGAAAAGACGCTGAGGGAAAAGGTGTTGGGAAACGCACTAGTACGCAGGAAGCAGAACATCCGGGAAGCAAGGGCGGGCGAGAAGCTTGACGAGCCAGTTGTGGCAGTCGAAGACAAATTCACAAAACTTGCCACTGACGCCCTCCCCCTTCTGACGCTTATCGATATTGAAGCTACGACAGGCCATCAGCGTTCGAGCGTCTCAGACTTAGTATGCATCGACTTACAGCTCCCAGTATTGTCCCATTGTTCTTTAAGATTCAAACCTGAAGGGCAGTTGAAGACGCTGTGAAGGCGAGAAAGCGTGGTTCGATACGGATGTAGTTGAGAGGGGAACAAGACGAACACAATTTGCGGCGCCTGGAATATATAGACAAGGAGCCTCGTGGGTACACGGTCTCACTGGAGTCAGGAATGACAGGCGCCCAGCGTGAGGAGCGCAGGACCTCTAACACTTCCTAGAGATTCGCGTAGCCTTTGTGCGTATTGAAGGTCGCCGTGTTTGTATTGGTGGGAAGAGAGCTAATACATGCTCAGTAGTGCTTCGATCCGAGTCATATGCGTGTAAACCGTATTAGAGTCGAGGAGATGTGCCCAGCGTGAGTGGCGCAACACTTTCGGGCAGTTGTTTTGCCTGATGAAGATCGTCGTGATCATATTTTGGAGGTCAAGAAGGCAGCCGGACATACACAACGACGTGTTTTGATCGAAGCGCTCGCTTAGCGCAAAATCTGAAGTATCAATAGAGTCTAGCGGAACACCACTCCATTAGGTTAAACGAAGAGCTTGCTCACAGATACATGATATCGTGATGCTCATTCTGCATTGCTTAATGATAGCGCGGTAGCCACCGGTCGTTACATTCCAAACACCATCCGATAACCTGCAGGCCCACTTGCGACACATCTACCCATCCTTCACTTGTCAGGCTATCATCCACAATGGTTATTTCCAGGCGATCACCTGCCCACGGTCCCCGCCTCCCAACCTGTACAACATCATCCGACCAAGCTGTCATGATGATCGCAAGGGCGCCCAGATCGACGAGGACACCTTTCCCCGTCAGAAACGCTCCCTCGACAGTGCACCCTGACTGACCACGCACGTCGACTAGAGCGCTCGCAGGGATGTAATGTTTGAGCCGCAAATTGCACAGAGCCCAATTGGAATGCGCCGGGTACCGCCAAGCAGTGGCATTCCATAGGCAACTTACGCGCAAGTGGTCTCCAGGTTGATCCTCCTTTGACACGCGCTGCCAGGTAACCTTCGTTGCAATCTTTTCGCCTTGATGCATGTAGAACAGGTCTCGGAAGAGCGGCGGCGATTGCTCGTAGTGCTCGTAAGCATAATAAGCATAATCGAATAACGTCGCCTCGCCCAGCTCTTCTGCTTCAGCAGGCAAGAGCATGCCTGCGGGGGGTGTACGGGCGTAGTCACCCGACGTGATCAGTCGGTCACCCGCCCAAGAACCCCAGTACCTGCATTCCTCGCGACGTAGTTCAAGAAGTCGGCGAAAGCCCTCGGGTGCCAGGACGCGATGGGCGGCAGCGAGACAGACGGCGTCGTCTGAAGAGGAGATACTGGAAAAGATAGCGGCAATGAGCTCCATAGGAATACGTGACAGGCTTCCTAGCTCAGTCTTGTCGGAGGAAGGAGGTGACACGCTACATATCGTTAACCCTGCGCAGAATAATGGCAACTACAACACGCACTAGTAAGCAGGCACAGGTTCATTGAACTCGGGGCCGGGGCGAGCAAGAAGTCGGACTAGCCAGCTATGGCCATTGAAGATAAACTCCGGGAACTTGCCGCTTACGCCCTGCCCAGTTTGGCGTTTGTCGACATTAAGCCTAAGACAACCATCAGCAAACATGTATGCTACATGAGGAGGTGACGCACAGTAACCAGTACTGTCCCATCGAGTGAGACCGGCGCGAAAGAGTTTGTTGATGACAGGTTGCGATTGCCGAGCCTGTCTTATATGCGGAGGAGAGGGCTATCGAAAAGATGCCTCAAGCGCTCGAGCTCAAGAGGAGCGCGTTCGCCCTGCGTTCGCCTCGTGTTGTTCATCCCACTGGAGTCAGGCTGAGTCCACTGAGAGACAGCCGTAAGGATACCGCCTACTTCCGACCAGCTCAGACGGGCATAATATCACGGTGATAGGATTTGAGAGCCCATAGGATGTGAAAGAATGTGAAGCCGATGGTAGTTGCGGTAAAAGAGCGCGCACTCATCATCCACGAACACGCCCACGTGAGTTTCGTGCAATATCGACACCATGGTTTCTAAGTATGGTTCAGGTTTGTCAATCATGTAGTAAATTTAGAATTCCATCATGCTTGAGATCTGTACGCTATCGGCTAGTGCTATCGAGTACAACACTAGTATAGGTATCTGTCGTTCATCATCGCCCAATGTGAGACCTTATCTACAGCCCACTTAGATACGTCCTTCCACTTCTTGATCTGAAGCCTCTCTACTTCTAAAACTCTCAGGTGTGCGCCTGCCCACTGGCAAGACAGCTCTGAGCCGTAGCTCGACCAGGCTGTCAGAAGGATTGCAAACGTGCCGAGATCCAGAATGGTGTTTTCGCCGTTAACGAAAGGCCCCTCAACGACACTGCCCACTTGGAAGTCATCGAATGGATTTATACGCATGTTGGCGACAGCATCCGCGCGAATGTACTCTTTGCGGTCCATGTTGCAGAGGGCCCAGGTTGCTTGTAATGCATATCGTATGGACGTGTCCTCAAGAAGGAGACGCACGCGCAGGTAGTCGCCTGTGCGTGCCACCACCCGCGTGAGAGCAGATTTCATCACGTTCTCGTGCGCTTTAGGGCCAAAGGCGGCACGCCAAGCATCGCGCTTGCCGGGCGGACCGGCCTTTCTGTAGGTGTCGCTCAGATGAAAGTTGATTCCAAGACCATCCCCCTTCATCTCCTTCTCCTCCGCGGCCGTAAACAAACCCTTAGGTAGGTTGCGCGCCTCGTCGCTGACTGTGATGATACGACCACCGGCCCAGCTCCCGAACTCAGAATTCTCTCTCCGCCGCAGTCTATAAACTCGGCGGAAACCATCTTGGGCGAAAAGGCGATGGGCAGCCGCGAAGCAAAGAGCGTCGTCCATATTAGATAGGTAGGAGAAGATGTGTGTGACGAGCTCCGGAGGGATAACAGAGAGGGAGCCCAATTCGTGCCTCTTTTCAGAAGAAGCTGCAAGACTGCAAGGTGGCTCAGTAACGCTCTGACAGCGTGGAATGGCAAAGCAAAACGACGCACTAATAGGCGGGCATAGCCTTGGGATTCGGTTTGGTAGGACGAGCGAGGAGCTTCACAATCTGGTTATGACCCGCGTAAATAAACTCGCCCATCTTGGCATCGAGGCCCCGCGCCATCTCGCGCTTGTCAACGTTGTACCTGCGATTCGTTAGAGTGTATCGCAGTTTTGGATACCTGTCAACACGCACATGTGCCAGCTTGGCATGGTTTGACACTCAGTCGTAGTAGGTGGTGAACTGTGGTGGATACAGAAAGAGATGGTGACGGTGTAAGAATGGTTGCTTTATAGTTCGTCACGAAGAGACGTGGTTGTGGTTGATGGAAGAGGCGTGGTTTGCTTTTGCGACGGTCGGACATAATCCGTCCGTGGGAATTCGATTCCACCGAAGTCGCGCGAGACGGTTTTGAAGGAAACTACTGGAGTTCAGTACTATATGTAAGTGTAGTAGAGCAGTTCCAATGTTATAGTGCACTAGTACACCCAGTTTCTATAGTTCATCGCCCCCCAACGATCGACTAGACGCACGCCCCACTCAGAAACGTCCTTCCATCCTTCGACTTTCAACCTCTCAACTTGTTGAATCCCCAGGCGTTCACCCGCCCGTGACTGTGATTGCTGTGTTTCCCCGGCCCTTAACCACACTGTCA